GCAAAATCATTGATCATATAATTACTAGTGGCCCAGTGCAAACTCACATTGATAATTATCCGAGGAATGGTACAGGCCGACATTTCTCTAATTCCCATTTCACAAAAAATCTTGCAAACAATGAAACAATTCAGCGCCGTTGGTAAATTTACTCCGTTTCTAAGGATCGAGTTTATTGTTTTTGTTGTAGACTATTTGATAGTACCTCAACGCCCATTTTGTATCTGAGGGGTTTAACAACTGGAAACACTTGTCTGAAATGTTAAAAAATTCATGAAAATAGCACTTTTCATAAGAATTTTTACCTTTCATGGATTGATGCTGAACTATGATTAAAAATAGGAAAAACAAAAGACTGCCAAAAGCAAYACTTGATTAGAAAGGAAACTACAAGATGGAATAATGTTTTRTCTAGATTGATGCATATCACACTTTATTTAGCCGAAAATAATATGACGTTCAGAGGTACTTCCGACAAACTATATWCGCCAAATAACGGAAAGTTCTTAGGCTTGGTACAACTACTAGCCAAATTTGATCTAGTCATGCAGGAGCACTTGCGATTAGCTATGAAGGGTGATATTTCAGACCATTACTGTGGAAAAGACATTCAAAATGAATTAATAGGGCTGATGGGTGAAAAAGTGAAGTCAGAAATCATATTACACACAAAGAAATCAAAATATTATTCTATTATAGCTGACTGTACTCCTGAAATTAGTCATGTATGTAGAACAACTGTCGCTGACATTACGATTTGTTGATTTATCAGACGATGATGAAAAAATATCAGTAAAAGAGCAATTCTTGGAATTTATATCTGTCAATGGGTGAACTGGTGAAAGACTGACTGAAGTTATTATTAATGTTTTAAATAAATACGGACTAGAATTGAACGATTGTAGGGGTCAGGGTTATGACAACGGGTCGAATATGAAAGGAAAAAATATTGGGGTTCAAAGGAGAATTCTCGACATAAACCCTTTATCTGTTTATGTGCCGTGTGGCTGTCATAGCTACAATCTAGTACTATGCAATGCCGCTAAGTCACCCGTAGGACCAGTCACTTTGTTTGGGGTCCTTCAGAGGTTGTTCACATTGTTTTCAGCTTCTGTTCATCGATTGAAAATTCTAACCGATCACTTGGGACTATATACTATAAAAAAGCTCAGTGACACACGTTGGGAAGCAAGAATAAGTAGTGTTAAAGCAGTCCGTTATCAAATTAGTACTATCCATGATGCTTTGATTACTTTGGCTAGTGAAACTCAGAAAACTACTACTCTGGCCGAACAGCTAAAAGATTTCAGCTTCATGGTTTMATTGGTTGTTTGGTATGACATACTTTATCAAATAAATATTGTAAGTAAATCTCTACAGTCAACAGATATGGATCTTGGTAAATGTACAGAAATGTTGAAAAAATGCTGCAATTTCTTGGAAGACTACAGAAATACAGGCTTTAAAAGCGCTATTTTTACTGCGAAGGAGTTGGCCGAAGAACTAGAAATTGAACCTGTACTTCGAGCTACAACAAGAATTCGACGTGTTAAGCGTCAAGCTAGTGAAATTGCACGCGATGACCCTATAATTTCTCCAGAAAAAAAATGTGAGGTTGAATTTTTCAATTGTCTTTCCAGTCAATGGGTACTCGGAATATTGGTCTTTTTTGTACAATATTGAACAGATTCCAGAAAAACCCGACCTTGTTAAGCTCTGTAGTGACCTCCAATTAAAATTAACTGTAAACTCTAAATCAAACATAGATGGTTGTATGTTGTGTGATGAACTTGTAAATCTGATTTCTTTTTTGCCTGATCACAATGTGCTTACTCCCATTTTTGTTTTAAATTTCATCAAATATTGCAATTTACAAGAGCTGTATCCAAATGTATGGTTAGCATTGCGAATATTATTAACTATACCTGTAACGGTTGCTAGTGGGGAGCGGAGCTTTTCAAAGCTGAAGCTGATAAAAGCCTATCTTCGATCAACAATTTCTCAATCTAGATTGACAAACTTAGCTACTTTGTCAATTGAAAACGAAATTGCTGAAAACATCCRCTTTGACAACCTTATAAAAGAGTTCGCTGATAGAAAGACCAGAAAAGTAAAATTTTATTAGTGTTTTTGTAGTAAATGGTTATTTTTTATAATAAATAATTATTTCTTTTAATAAACGGTTATTTCATTACATGTTTTCCCTTTTTTTGAATGGGTTTGAATTGCAGTTGGAGGGCGCCGTAGAAATCTCGCCCAGGGCGCTGCTAGTGTTAAAACCGGCACTAACTGTACACATTCGTATATATCAAAAATTTACACTAATTTTATATTTTTTCAGAAAATAAATATACTTTAAAAACTATTTTGCACATTCAAAGTTCGTATATGATTTTACCTAAAACTAGACATTGTCACATTTTTACCAATTTTTATGCACCCCTTACGTACAATCTTTACCATAAAATTTAACKTTGCTGACAGATATCTTTAGAGAGTTAGTTTTCAACGTAAACGTTATATGCGGTATTGGCGTGGTTATTGTATCAATTTTTAAACAAGCAAGCGCTGGCACGGACAGATGGACGGACGGACAGGCAGACATGCTTAACCAACTCTCCTCGTATTAAATATATATATATAAAACTTTACTCTTTATTACACTTTTAATAACTATTGACAAATTTCTGTGTTTTTTATAATTTATTTGGTAATCAATTTAATAAAAAAAAAATTAAAAGTAAATTTGAAATATAAATTAATAAATAACATAAATTTCGGTAAGTAATATTTCATCAATGGATACTTCAGTGTCTTATAATTGATATGTATGTATGTATATTGAGCGAACGTTTCATCTGACAGCATATGTATGACGGGTAAATTCGTACCAGCTGATTAAACTTTATTGCAACACACTAAACTAGACTTTTATAAACAAAAAAAGAACTCTAAGAAAATTAATAACTTTTCCTTTGGTTTTACGCACGTAGTTTTAGAACAATCCTCGTAAACTTCGCGCTGCTTGTTTTTAGTTACAGTGCACACACTGTCGATCTTGACAGCGAACTTAGTAGCAAAAGTGCCACAACTATGCCTAGATTTTGTTACAATATATATATTATATATGTATGTATGTATGATGCACTTATTTTCCTACTCTCCGACCGTAAGTGGTGTCAAATGAAGAAAGGGTCTTGAACTACTCAAGTGCGTGGTCGTGCTCACAGCTGGGATTTAATTGCCACGCAAAGCTACATTCATTGAYGGGGTTATTGCCATTCATGTGTTTGTTGTTATTGCGGTGTTATATTTTGGTCGAAGGCATAGTTTRTTGATAAAGTTGCCGGTCGACAACATTGCATTAGTCCGACATCTACTCACACATAAGTACATTATAGTGGAAAGTCTGTGGGCTGATGCCAACATCAGTGGGAAAGTGTTTTGGTTTTTGTTTCGTTTGCTGTCTCGATATAATACATAATACTTGTCAGTGTATTCTCGCCGTGCGCTTTTCTAACGGCGCTTGTTGTTCATAGACTTCTCTCCGAAATTTGCTTGGCGCTCGGCTTCATTTATTCAGTCACTCAACGAAAGTACGAAGTCATACATACTTACATATGTAGGTATATGCCTACATGCAAAGAGGTGTCGTTGACGCTACTAAAGCGGTAAATGCAAGAGCGTGGACACAAACGCTTTCCGACATTGCTTAACAAGCGTCATGTGTTGAATGCAATGCTCGCRACAGACTGCTAACGACATCTGTCAAATATTAAAATACACACGGTCTTATGGACGGACCTATTTTGRCAGCTGCATGACTACACGACTGCAGGCCGACAGTTGTCGTTCTCGCTAACTTCAATTTAATCMTATATTTGCCAACGCAGGTAGGACGACAGTAGAGTTGACAGTAAAATGGAAGATAGAGAGATGAGGCAGAGTGGTGATGCCACTAATATGTAAAATGTAAAACTACTCAAAGCTCTAACAAACCGGACGTTATTTTACAAATAAAAGCATAAAAATAGTTCTGTTACATCATTTATAATAACAATTGATAATTTAAAACAAATAAATTCACCTGTTTACTTATTTTTTGCTTAAAAATTTCACTTTGAACAAAATATTAAAATTTCATTGAAGTGCAAGGTATTAGTATGGCCACAACGAAATTGTGTACATGCAAAAATGGACAACTGCGTTGTTTTCTGTACATGTCGGCCATTCTTATGTTGCTGCCCTCTCACAAACGTTCATGTAGTAGGATTCACAACGACATATTCAGTTCACTGATRTGCTGCTGCAGTCTGTCGCGAGCATTGTGTTCCGCACATCATGCTGCCCTCYAAGCACACACACAAACCGYGCTCTGTGATGGGAAGATATCACACGGGCGTGGGGAGACCAATTTCGACGTGGAGTTTGTTGGTATTAGTGCGTCGCTTTGCGCTTCTACTTGTGAGCGGCAGCGTTTGGTGGTTTTGGTTGCGGCTAACGACTGACAACTGAGGGCAGTGTTAGCGTTCCTAGATAAGCGCGCACATCGCTTATATCGCATCGCATCTAGCGCGAATTTGTARTTGTAACGTGCTGTGGCTGTTTTAAATTGCACCATAAGTTAAGGTTTGTGAGTGAATATTCAAAATATGCAATGATTAGAGTCAAATTGTGCACTTATTTGTGTGGATTTAACAACAAAAATGTCCTTATGTGAAAGAAGCTCGTGTCGTTTGCCGCCCAAATGTAATGAGGCAGAAAACATATACAATTTTAATATTTCAAGTTCAAGATTAATAAAAAAAAGGAAAAAATAATTTCTCCACACAAAAACASGTTTGAGTATACAAACAATTACGTAATTTGTAATGAAATCGTCTAAAGTGGTTACTAACTTTTAAGATAATGTGAAGATTAGAACAAACGTGATTACAGATGAGCTGGAAACATCGCAAAGTTACATGTGTACATTTGTGTATGGAAATAATACACACAAAATAATATACGGTCAATCATACAAACGTACCTACATTGAGCTATACAAATATATGTAGAGAAATACTTTTAAAGTCTAGCTTAGTGCACAGTGTCTAATTAGTAAAGAAAATAYGTGTGCTTTGCTATACATACACGTAATACTCACACAAGTATATGCGTAAAATTAAGTTTCTCCTATCAATTTCAGGCGAATATACCAATTAATTAAACAACAATGCTAGACGACGCTCTACAGGTTGCATAGTTTACCACTTCGTTTTCGAATTTTGCAACTCTCATTTGATAAGACAAAGAAAACAATTTATTTGATAAGAATGACACAACTAGCAACCCAGCAGTAAATTTTTCTTACTTCAAATATCAATTTCTGGTAATTATTGGCAACTTCTTGGACTAGCTTTACAACATATACTAAAAAAATGTTGCCAGCTTAAAATCATTTCTCTTAAAAAAAATTTTATTATAGACCTGTCATATTTAATTAATTAAATAATATTATCTAGATTTCAGTAATAATTCAAAACTAAGAAAAAATATTAACTTCGTTTGCGCCAAAGCTGTAAAATCCTTTAAAAAAGGGATTGATTTTCATAATTCAGCTTGTGTGACAGCTATATGCTATTCAGGTTCTATCTGAAAAATTTGTTTGGGGACAGATTGAAGATATAAAAAAGCTTTTATGCAAGAAATTTATTTTGTTTGTTCAGTTTGGTTAGTTATATGCTATAATGATCCGATATTGGAGGTTCGGAAAAATGAGGAACTTCTTTGCAAAAAAGGATGTGTTAAAATTTTCAGGTTGATATCTCGAAAACTGAGGTACTAGTTCGCGAGGGTGCGACTGACACACAGGCGGACATGGCTAAATCGACTCAACTCGTTATGATAATTTTTTATATACATACATATATTTTATAGGGTTTCTGATGTTAAGGCACACCACTGAGCCATTTTTTTTTTACTGTTTTTCGTCGAAGAACTTATGCTTAATGTMACTACAAAGAACACTTCGTAATATTGCTATAAAACAACTTATTGCTAAATATATTATATTGTATTATAAAATAAAATTGCTGCAAAGAAAAACTTTCTCTACATTTTGGAAGTATAAAAAGACAAAATAAAATAATGTTTTTCGAACTGGCAACTGACAGTCTTAGTTATAAAGAAACAGCAAAAATTTATTCATCGTCACATAAATTATAAATAATATATTACAATTTTAATTATAAATTTTTTTTTAATAAAAAAAAGTTCCGAATTCCTCTATAATTTTTTTTTGTTTTGACGAAAATTTTTTTAAAATAATTTCGGTAAATATAGTTTTTTTTTGTTTTTATAACATAGTAAAACTTAATGTTTCTCCTCATATAAATATATACACATTTTTTCKCATATGTATGTACATAAAAAAGGAAATGCTGTTTTTAACGTTGAGATAAGATATTCATTTACATTTTTGCAGTTACAATGACTTCGCTCTCTTTTACTCTTGAATTGAGAATTCTATTATTTCACGGACAAAATAATTTACTTATTTACTTACAAACTGAAAAATTTGTGTTGGCATAGCGGCAATTTAAAAATTGGTTTATAAATAAAGAAGATAATTGTTGCACTACACTTTAAATTACAATTGAATGCATATATATATCTGCGTTATTACAAATATAAATATATGTACATATAAATTTAATTTGAAAACTTGAATTAATTGGCTATTAATGCAAAGTCTAGTTTACACACTTTGAAAAAGATCGTTGTAAAGCGGCGTAAGATGTAAAATATTAGTATATGGAATAAGCTCTTAAAGAATTTGAGATATTTTAATTTTTAAAATAAAGCAAAAAAAAAATTTTTTTTTTACYCAATGTTCTATCATATATGTGCATATGTATATTTTGAGAACCAGATCATCAGCATTTATTTTTTCACAATCCCGTTAGTTTCTTTACTTTATATAAATACATTTTGATCTTTCGTAAAGATTTGTCTGATGACCTCATTTAATATGCATACTACTTTTTTAGAATTCGTCTTGACAACTTAGACAACTTTTTTAAGTTTTTCAGAAGGTGTTTACTATTCTAGGAGGTGACTAATTACAGTGTAAGTGTATTTCCAACCAAAAAATTATTTTAGCAATTCTTTCAGGTCCTTTTCGTTATTACTCATATTACATTAAAAGAAACTATTGTAGTAATAAATATATCTTTGCCTTAGCACTTTGCATTAGGGTTGTWCATTCTTTACTTACTTTAATCTTATATCTCTGTAGTTTATATGAGGGTCAGGACRAAAGTGCTTATGGTTTCTTATTTAAGAGCCACTGTAGGGGGTATAAAATTATGTGCGAATTTATTAATTTTTTATTGTGATACAATCATTTATTCACAGAAGCAATGGAACATTTGAACCTCAAGCTGGAGAAAAATGAATTATTTTGGTTAATAAAAAATTTGAATCAATCGAAATTTCCCTACGAACATACTTCTATGCAAAATTCAATTCTAAAGATAACCTCAAAATGATTAATCGATCGGATAAAACTTGTGAAAGTAACTTATCTCGATTATTGCAAAAAAAAAAAAAAAAAAAATAGTGTTGAGGAAATCGCATTTACAATTTCAGAGGAGAAAGACGAGGTGGACTTATTATATACGCTGTAACTCGTTTTCCTCGAATCAACTAGAATCGAATTTTAAGTATAAAGCATTGCCTACAAAAAAAAAAAAAAAAATATGTAAAAGATTTACATTGCCTGTATCCCTTAAGGACATCACTAATGGTTTTTTATTGAAATACCGATACCGAATTTATACAATATCAACAATGCAACCCTACTGCTTTGTTTCAATTTRCTTTGTATCMACTTTGACATTTTGTGACAATTGCTTTCAAAACAACCAASAGCTATGGCGGCAAATGTGAATATAAATTTATTTATTAACAATTTTTTAGATTTATGTGAAAGTGGCCGCAGCAACTCCTCGATAATCATTAAAAAACATTTGAAAAACAAGAGAAAAAAGCAAAAAGCGGCATTGCTTGGATTGTTCAATGGAAAAAAATTTGGGCATCACAAAAAATAGAGATGGGCCCTATGCTCAATGTATGCGCATCTAATACGCATAAAAATTTATCGGTACTCGATACTTTGCATATCGTAAGCAGTTTGATTTTAAGGAATTCTATACTTCGTACTAATGCAAAGCAACATGCAACTTGGAACTCAGCCATTGTTTCAAACTATTTGGTTGCCCCCACTTGTAAAAAACATTATCCAAACAACACTTAACTCCGTCGGCCATTGAACTTAGGGARAGTATGCGAATCGCATTAATTATAAATAAAAGAAGCTATTCAATRTATGGAAAATGTCTACAATTGCAAAAGCTTATTTCTTTGAAAGCACACATACATGCATTGCAAGTAGAATGCTATCTGCTTTGCAAGGGCAGTCAGACTTCTTCGGTTTTTTAAGTAGTTTTCATTGTACTTTCACATTGTGAATTTAATTAATTTTCACTTTATAAAATATGTTCTTCTTCCAGAAAATATGGAAGAAGATTGTTTACTGAACATACGAAAACGGATTTTTAGTAATAACTGGCATAAAAAGTAAATTGATAATGATAACTTGAGTAAAAATTAAGCTATCTTAATGAAACTTTGTACATGTGATTCTTGGCAAAAGTTGAGGACGGGTCCGTCGACACGTCCACAAAATGAAATTAAATGAAAATCTATGTGGGTTAAAGATATGAAAAATGTACATATCCCCTGAACCACTTAAGATTCAATATCCGAAGTCACTCAGGACAAATCCCTTAAGAAATCTTACAGAAACTGTAAAAATGGATAAAATCGGGTGATAATCCCGCCCACTCCCAATATAACGGTTATGTTAAGAACTACCAAAAATGCGATAATTCATTCACTGAATACGTCAGAGACATTAAATTTTACACCTATGATGGCACAAGAAAACTTTATAGGAGCCGGGGTTATAATTAGACATTGGACGYAGTATCGCACACATTTTGCCGAAAGGGCATATCTCAGAACCTACTCAACCGATCTCGACTAAATTTAGTATATAATRTTATCTTAACATTCCTATCTTCCAGTGCAAAAATGAGCGAAATTAGACTGCAACCATAATAGCCTAATTTAAAGCCCATCTGATTCTTTCACTTTCCAGAGTGCAAATCAAGTACTAATAAATGAATCGCATAAAAATTTGCGCGAATAGCGTCTCTAAAGTGTAACACCTTATCATCAAAAATTGTCCGATTTGCTCCAAAACTATTCAAGCTCCCAGATATGTACCGAATATATGGATAATCGTTCCAATTGCGAACATTTTATCGAAAATATCCCTCAATCTATGAATTCGGAGATAATCCTCTTCTAATAATAGTATTCATGCTTGTCAAATCGGATCAATAATTCTCTTAGCCCCCAAAGAAAGATTTTCGAACTTCCGGTTGACTTTATATCGTATACGTCGACATATATGCGAATATCTTAATGAAACTTACGGTTCATTTTTGTGCCAAAAGTGAATAAAATCGGGTCAAACCTTGATCCTGACAAGTTGCAAGAGTGTGAAATGTTCGGATACA